CACACAGCACTCCTGCACTGACCTGACCAAAACACTTTACAAATATTTTCTTCTCCTTCTGCTTACAGTGCAGCTCTTTGAATATGCCAGCTTTTCAGCCTGCCTGCGTGCCTGCAGATGTTATTAAGCAGACAGGCTTGCCTTCACCTAACATAACCCTAAGGATTTCCCTGTCACATGCAATAATACACATTTCCTTGACTATGAATGATGCCAGCCATTGTAAACAGCATAGCATATCTGCAAATACAGCAGAACAAAATAAAGTAACCGTACTGTACACTTTATTGTACATGTCAAGATAAATCACAGTACACTTCCCTGATGGCGGGGTGGAGGGTCACTGCTGCAGCCCCATACAGGTACATAGTTGCTTTAATTAAAGAAGACCTATACCGTCAGAATTAGGAAATCTGCCAGTGTTGACCCGCTTAGGTAAATGCCACTTTCCTGGTTGCCTCTGGCTTCAATACCTCGGAGATAGTAACCTGGAACAAGCATGCAGATTCAGATGCAGTGACCTGGAACAAGCATGCAGATTCAAAATCAGGGTGAAGTCAGGACTCCTGGTACACATTCTTGGCCAGTTGGCCAGACTTATACTAAAGCTGCTTATATAAATGACAGTCAGGCACCTAGCATTACCTTGGGAGGTCTGCAAAGGAAGCCTCTATACTTCCTAATTACAGGTTGGCACTTTTTTTCTAAAAAATAAAGACCCCCCCCCCTTAATTTTTACATCAGGGAACTACATATATCAGCATGCAATTTTCCTTGGTGCCATCTGCCCAGGGCTTGCACAGTGTGTACTCAGCATGATTTCCTCCTAGTACAGTCTGGTGTACACTATATTGCCAAAAGTATTGGGACGCCTGCCTTTACATGCACATGAACTTTGATGGCATCCCAGTCTTAGTCCGTAGGGTTCAATATTGGGTTGGTCAACTCTTTGCCACTATAGCAGCTTCAACTCTTCGGGGAAGGCTGTCCCCAAGGTTTAGGAGTGTGTCTATGGGAATGTTTGACCATTTGTGAGGTCAGGTACTGATGTTGGAGGAGAAGGCCGGGCTCGCAGTCTACACTCTAATTCATCCCAAAGGTGTTCTATCGGGTTGAGGTCAGGACTCTGTGCAGGCCAGTCAAGTTCCTCCACCCCAAACTCGCTCATCCATGCCTTTATGGACCTTGCTTTGTGCACTGGTGCGCAGTCATATTGGAACAGGAAGGGGTCATCCCCAAACTGTTCCCAGAAAGTTGGGAGCATGAAATCGTTTAAAATGTCTTGGTATGCTGATGCCTTAAGAGTTCCCTTCACTGGAACTTAGGTGGCACAAGCCCAACCCCTGAAAAACAACCCCACACTATAATCCCCCCTCCACCAAACTCTACACTTGACACAATGCATTCAGGCAAGTACCGTTCTCCTAGCAACCGCCAAACCCAGACAAGTCCATCGGATTAGCAGACAGAGAAGCGTGATTCATCACTCCAGAGAACACGTCTCCACTTCTCTAGAGTCCAGTGGCGGCGTGCTTTACACCACTGCATCCGACGCTTTGCATTGCACTTGGTGATGTAAGGCTTGGATGCAGCTGCTCGGCCATGGAAACCCATTCCATGAAGCTCTCTACGCACTGTTGTTGTGCCAATCTGAAGGCCACACAAAGTTTGGAGGTCTGTAGCTATTGAATCTGCAGACAGTTGGCGACTTCTGCGCACTGTGCGCTTCAGCATGCGCTGACCCAGGTCTGTCCTTTTTACGTGGCCTACCACTTCGTGGCTGAGTTGCTGTTGTTCCCAGTTGCTTTCACTTTGTTATAATCCCACTAATAGGTGACCGTGGAATATGTAGTAGCAAGGAATCACGGTATCACGCTTGAATTCACTGAGCTCCCGAGAGCGACCCATTCTTTCACAAATGTTTGTAGAAGCGTCTGCATGCCGAGGTGCTTGATTTTATACACCTGTGGCAATGGAGGTGATTGGAACACCTGAATCCAATGATTTGGAGGGGAGTCCCAATACTTTTGGCAATATAGTGTATGTACTAAGCTGAAGTGTGGTCTGTTATAGATAAAAATAGCAAGGAAAAATATGTCCAGTGCATGGAAAGAAGGAAGGAAATAGGGAAGGAAGGATGAAAGAAGGAAGGGAAGGAGGGAGCAGGAGTGGAAGGAAAGGATGAAAGAAGGAAGGGAAGGAGGGAGCAGGAGTGGAAGGAAAGGATGAAAGAAGGAAGGGAAGGAGGGAGCAGGAGTGGAAGGAAAGGATGAAAGAAGGAAGGGAAGGAGGGAGCAGGAGTGGAAGGGAAGGAAGGAAGAAGGAAGTAGGATGGAAAGAGGAAGGTAAGAAAGTAGGAGGGAGAAAGGATAAAAATTAAGGAAGTAAATGGAAGTGAAGGAAGAATGAAGGAAGAAAGTAAGCCAGACACCCTTCTCAGATCAGCTCCTGGCAGTGATGTCTTCCTAACAGTCACCAGTAATTTGTACTTTAGTGAACCAGAGGATGAGGATCAAGGAAGCTTCCTTCACTTATCCATTAATTGCACGTAATGCAGTGTTGTCTCTGGAGTGATGCGGCACTAATGTGCATTTTACTAATCATGTATTTGCACTGTGAACTGGGCCCTGTATGCTTTTGCAGCACTGCTTGCCTTCTCTGTCCTCCAAGGCCTAAATCTCACCTCGCACAGTGTTTTTTGGGGTGTGCCTATATACAGGCCAGTAATAATATGGTCAACCCACCTCATTGGGAACAGTATGTAGAGAGCCCTGGAGTAATGGTTTGGGACTTGCATTGATATTGTTTCCTTGCAGGTGTGTACCTCTTCCAAGATATAGCCTGGCCAATCTCCATATCCTCCTGTGTACTAAGAACCATCTATGGTACTGCACAATCTTCCTAGGAATGCATTCTTAGGTTCTACCTAGCTCATTGCACAATCCAACCCAGCTCTGTGCTTTCTACTCTCAAGCCCACCTTATTACCAATGGTGACACCAAAATTGATGGTGTCATCTGATGAAAGCTAAAGCCAAAGTCCATCCAAACAGCCTAATACACATTTGGATACATGGTTTAGAAACATTTTGCCTGCCAAATTACTTCTATTTTTTTTTAACCATACTACCCAACCATATTGTATAGACTGTGAATGGAACTGCTATTGTAATGCCTGTCCACCTCAAGGCAGGGTAAATGCATCGCACAATGCACTAGAGCCGTGGTTCTCAACCTGTGTAACCTCAGGACCCACATTTGTCCTTGGTCATTATGTGGTGACCCAAGTCGCACTGCAATGGAACACACGGCATTGCGGTACCGTGCGTAATAAAATTAATTCCAAATACAGTCACTCTTGTCCGGCATTGCGGTACCGTGCGTTCCGGTGCGGGCGATTGAACTGTGGGCAGGAGGTGTGTTTGGGGTGCCATTATGAGAACTGGAGCGGATCCTCAGCCTGGGGTCCAGTGCTGGGCTGCTGTGCTATGACGGAGCTCCCTCCATACATGGATTGCTTGTACAACTCCCATGCGTGCCCTCTAGAGGTGCCGGGAGCCAAAATGTGACATCACTCCGCTCCAGGCACCTCTACAGGGCACGTGAGGGAGCTGTAAGCACTGCATGCATGGATGGAGCTCCCCCGTAGCCATAGCTCCAGCCCACCCCACCTCAAGCTGACACTCGACTCCAGGCAGCATATTCTGAATGGCTCCTCTGCATGAGAAATGACATTGCTGCGCTAGGAGGAGGCTAAGAGACTCTCACTTAGAAAAGTGGAAGGCACACGGCGACCCACTGAACAAGGCGTCACGACCCACTTTTGGGTCAAGACCCACCAGTTGAGAACCAAGCCTTGGTTTTCCAGGGTTGCCCCTCCTGGCTCTGAGTCTGGTTTCTGGCTTGCATGACTCTCAGGTAGCACTTCCATAAAGGCTTACAGGTTTGCTTTACGGCACCCCATGTTCCTGCTGAAAGAAATTCCAAATCTGTCTACAACTTTACCAGCTGTCAAATTGCAGCATTGTTTGAAATTTCTGGTAATGTTTTGGATACTCAAAACTTTACTGTCTCAGCCAATAAAATTCATTCCAAATACAATGAGTCAGAGGCATTTCATAAAAATGAATGCAAAGGAAGTGTTGCCTACAACAATAAATCACACATTCATGTTTGTGTTTCTAAACAAAACAAAAAAAAAACAGCTGAACTCCAATTGGCTGCTACAGCCAACACCCTACTTCTGATTGGCTGCTACAGCCAACACCCTACTTCTGATTGGCTGCTACAACCAAAGCATGTAAGTCCCATCATTGTTACAAAAAAACAACATGAGGTGGGTGATCTGATCCTCTCCACCCTGGCAGAACTACAAGACTCAGCATGGCTTCACACTAGTGAGCAACTAAGCCTGCAGTTTGAAAGTGACTGCATGCCGCACTCTTGATTATTACTATTAAAGGGTTGTTAAAAAAACAATAATATTGTTTTTGCCTTTAAAAAATATTATAACATTATAATTTCTTACACAAATGTGTCTTCCCATAGGAGAAAAAATATATATAACTGACATAAACAAGTCACGAATACTATAATGAATGAATAAATAATAAATAACTACTATGTGAGTTTTGTAACTAATGTACTCAGTACTTGGTTTGGGCCCCTTTTGCAGAACTTACTGCCATTACTTTTGCACGATATTCTAATTATTCGAGTTTCACCTGTATGTATATATATATTTATTTTTTTTGGTCTACAGTATGTGTTACTTTTTTTTTCTTACCTTAAATAAAACAAACATTTCATATCACAGTGGAACATCATTGCAAAAAAAAAAAGTGTAGAAGAATGTAACATTCTTCCTAATTGAAGCTACAGCACCCCCTGGCACATGCTGAGGGGAGAGTCAATGTGGGCACAGAGGAGTGCAGAAAGCAGAAATACGTCACTGCCCAACCCATTCATATACACTATTCTGCCTTACAAGCCAGGAGGAAATACACACTGGATGGTGGAGGTGGAGGCAGGCAGGCACAAGGGACAGTACAAGCAGATCAGCCTGGAATACTCTGGATTCTACTGGGGAGCCCAATGATGTGGAGCACACAGCCTGCTGCTTTATGAACCAAGGGATGATCTGAGCACCATGCACAGGTAAATTCTGGCCACTGCTAACAGTGCTAGATGATGGTTGGGAGGGGGGATCCGACCTCTTAGTGCATTAGGTGTACAGTTCATCGGATTACGCAGAAGGGAGAAATGTCAAATAATGTGTAGAAGCGTCCGATTTACTAACACCAGGACCAGAATTCGCACAGTCCAGTCCAGGGACCACAAGGGTGCTCAGTGAATTAGTATGGTGGGGCTCAGTGGTTTATGTGACATTGTACAGGGCTGATATGTATTGCCGGGTGCAGCAACCTTATCTATGCACTGTTATTATGTATCAACTTCAGCACAGTAACATTGTACAGTCCCCGGTCCCTCTAAAAGTATATCTGAACCCCAAATCTGAAATGTAATTGATGTCTACTTACCAGTAATTGGATGTGGTGGCTGCATTCGTTTTCTTGTCTTTTCAGGCTATGGGCATTCTTAGCAAAAAGTCAGTTGCTCATGCCAGATGTAATGTGTGGTTGTGTTATGCATTGGAAGCTATCAGAGGGGGAGAATTTTTGTAGTCCAGGTCAGGACAGCTGCTGTTCATCCATACAGTATTGTGTGTTAATGTGGTCAACCTAGGACAGGAAGTGTGTTACTAGCAGGGCCAGAAGGTGAGAATAAAGATATAAACTGGAAATAGGAAACTAATCCAGCCACCATATCTAAAGACTGGAAAGCTGTGGCATATATGTATATATATTATATAGATAGAAATGATGTTTATATTTGCTTGTTCTTGGGTTCAGGATGTTTTAGCTTTGTCCAATACACATAATATAGTACTCATCAGGGACTTTAATGATCCTGATACTGTCAACCAGACTACAGTGCAATGGTACCACAGTACTCGGATGTCTAACACCGCTCTGTGATCTCATGAATACTGTACAGTAGCGGTATCATGCAGTACACTGATCAGTGTTTTTGAGGAACTCAGTCATATTGTTGTTCATAAAATACTATAGTCCCAAATCATAGTACCCCAAAGGTCCCCATGCACCGTGCAGCATAGTACATATTGCTGCACAGTGCATGGTGACCCCAGTAATACAGTATAATTATCTCACAGTAATCTAATGTAGAGTATTGTTGTCCTGTGACTGTCTAAGGAACAGCACAGTGATCCCTGTAATGAACAGTAATATTGCACAGTATGAGGAGTAGAGTCATCCATGGTGCAATGATATGAGTAAAATCCAGTACAATGACCTCTGTATGGGACCTGTAGTCCTCCATACTGTACAGTACAAGGACCTCTGTATGGGACCTGTAGTCCTCCATACTGTACAGTACAAGGTGCTCTGTATGGGACCTGTAGTCCTCCATACTGTACAGTACAAGGTGCTCTGTATGGGGCCTGTAGTCCTCCATACTGTACAGTACAAGAACCTCTTAATGGGACCTGTAGTCCTCCATACTGTACAGTACCAAGTGCTCCTTAATACTGGGAATAAGCTGTCTAGCATTAGGAGCTAAGCTGCATTGTGTTCTGGTGTACGGTATAATCTGTATTTTACAGTAGAGTGCAAGGGTGTCTTAAATTGCCCGAGTTCATTGAACCAAACATTGACGTAAGAGTACAGTACAAGGTATTCAAATTGTGCAGTACAAAAAAATCCCATCCCGGATGATGTACAGGTGTGTAATGTTACCATGCAGTACAAGACAGTGATACGGCGCAGGAAGTGGCTGTCAAAAGACAAAGGGCTCTGAGTTACCCATTCAACTACCGGAATATCTGATTTTACTGCTTATGGATTATTACATTAGTACATGTATCAAACTGTTGCCGCTATATAAATCCTGTATAATAATAATAATATTTTGGACTGGTCACAGCTCCTATGCAATGTCCCTCTCATAAGACTGATCACTGCTCCTCTGCAATGTCCCCCTCTGTAGGACTGCTCACTGCGATGTCTTCCTTGTAGGACTGATCACTGCTCCCCTGCAATGTCCCCCTTGTAGGACTGATCACTGCTCCTCTGCAATGTCCCCCTTGTAGGACTGATCACTGCTCCCCTGCAATGTCCCCCTTGTAGGACTGATCACTGCTCCCCTGCAATGTCCCCCTTGTAGGACTGATCACTGCTCCCCGGCAATGTCCCCCTTGTGCAGAGTGTGTATCCCTGTGTCCAGGTCTGCAGGCTTCACACCATGTGTACACCACTGTTCTCTCAATGGGCTCTCTTGTGTCACAGTGGCTCCTTGTTGCCCCTGCACGGAGTTGGCTGGTGGGATAGGGCCTGGGTTTTTGTGGTTTCCCGGACATGCGGAGGTTGCATCAGGTTGTTGTGAAGGTCTTGGGGATTCTAGACAAATGATACTCTTTGGCTGATACAGATGTAACATTGTATCAGCTTCAGTGTTTATTGTTTAGAAAAAATGTAAATTGAAATGTGCACAACACTTCCACTGTGTACAAGACGACAAACCCACAATATAGGGGAGTGTTTGTAATCAATATTTATACATAGGAGGGAAGAGAGAGAGAGAGAATATGAGGTGGGAGAGAGAGATAATAGAGAGAGAGAGAGAATGAGGGGGGAGAGAGAGAGAGATAATAGAGAGAGAGAGAATGAGGGGGGAGAGAGAGAGAGATAATAGAGAGAGAGAGAGATGTTTTAAAAGCAAGCAAGAAAGAGTAATTTTGGGTGAGAGATTGTCTGTCTGTCTGTCTATCTATCTATCTATCTATCTATCTATCTATCTATCTATCTATCTATCTATCTCATCTATTACCTTTCACTTAATTACTTTCTTTCAAAATGATAGATAGATAGATAGATAGATAGATAGATAGATAGATAGATAGATAGATAATGTAGGTATTTTGAAAGACCGTAAAGAAACAGTCAATGAAGTGAGTGTACCTACCTGTCTGTCTATCATCTATCATCCCCCTTCACTTAATTTACTTCGTCCTTACTTGATTTCCAAACCTCTATCGATTTTGTCTTCCTTTATATTCTCTAGTGATTAGACTTGAAGCTTTGGATGAATGTCTCGCGTTCTCAGGTAGTCCTTCTCAGGATAGAAGTGTTTGGCGCTCTTGTTGGCAGATGTGGTAAAATAACAATATCAGATAAGGGGGAAAAAAAAGTCTGGTGTCTTCATACTAAATGTGAAGTTTTAGGACTGGAAGTGTCACTTTAAGGGGGTGTGTCCCTGGCTGAAGGTGCACCTGCAACACAGGTATGACAAGAATGGTTGCTAAGCAACTGTCAGGGGTGAAGAAAGGTGAGGTTGAGCTTTTTTTTTCTTCTTCTTTAAATTTACAGTCTGCTGCCTTGTTTGTGTCAGTGGATGTCTAAAAGCAATCTGCATTGTAAATACACGCCGTGGACTATGGACCCGTCTGGTGTTCTATGCATTGACTGGCTCTCAGTACAGTTCCTCCTTCTGCTGTATGAAGTTCAGGTCTGCAGAGCCGGGCTTGTGTGTGCAACTTGGAACAGTCCTGTAAAATGGGAACATTTTGTATTTAGAGGGTAGCAGTACTGGGCGTATGGGGACCTCTTTCTGAACCTTCTAGTTCTGGTGGGCAACTCCGGCCCGCCAGCTGTTGTGGAACTAGAAATCCCAAGAGGCATTGCAAGCCTCTGACAGCCACATGCATGATGTGATTTTTAGTTAAAGCGCAGCTGGAGGGCCCGGAGTTGCCCACCACTGCTCTAGTTGCTGGGCTATTGTACTGACCTGCTGGCTTCAATACTGGACCCAGAAGAAGTATTCCCTCTTCTTTTACTTAGTTGCAATGACTGCCCATCACTCCGCTATGTAGTCTCAAATAGTCATTGCTGGGGTGACAATGCTAATTGCCACCCCCATGGTTCTGTGTTAGCGTTGTCATCCTGTAAAAGGAAGTGTCACCCAGGCAGCATTTCTGGCAGGATCCTTCACAGAGTGCTCAAACATGCAAATCGCTGGGCATGTTGTGACTCTGTGAGCACTCTGTGACTATTGTTTGTCCCTGCATGCACTAGCATTTTTAGTTTTGGGGTTTTTTTTTTGTCTTGGCCACCTTTGGGTTGCCTTGTTAGCAGATGTTTAAAGTGAATATTGTTTCTGTGTGTATGTATGTATGTATGTATGTATTAATGTGTGTATGTATGCGTATATACAGTATGTGTGTGTGTGTGTATAGATAGATAGATAGATAGATAGATAGATAGATATTCCTCCTTGAATCTTTTTGTGCTTAGCATTTTCCAGATCTGTGCAATAATCCAATGTGAAACTTTGCTTCCAGTAATACAAGACCGGTCACTACTGCTCTCTCTCCTTGTGCAGGGTGACTGGTCTTGTATCCGCCCCCTCCCGGGCAGCCTGTAGTGGGTGGAGCATGCAGGCCCCTCCCACATCTCTGCTGTCTACACAGACTATGTACAACACAGTGAAGATGTCACCAATACATTTATAAGGCAATAACTGGGTTTGCCAAGGCATTTGGTAGAATGTTATCCTTTGTAGCCATTGAGGAATACGTTTAAATAAAGGTTTTGTGCCTGGAGTTCACTTTTAAAATAAATTGATAACATGATAATGATAAAATAATAAAAATAAATCACTTGTGACCTTTTTATGACTTGCTTTATGACTGCAAAAAAAAAAATGCTTCCAGTGGGGATCTGGTTTAGTAGGTCCCACTCGTGATACGGATTATCTTTTCCTCAGTTCAGTGACAGTTTACACAATTGGCTGAAGTGCAGTGTGAGCATGATTGGACTGGAACATAGGTGAGCCATAATGTGACTCACTGATCGTTATCTCCAAGGTGCAATACGGTGCGGGGCTGGCGGTTGTAAATACGTGTTGAAATCCTGGAGCGTATACCGGCTCCGTGGTGTTGGTGCCATTTCCCAATTCGTGCAACAACAATGCAACGTGTCAATAAAGTTATTACTGCGCCAAAACCTTTTACCCATTTCTGTGGGGAAGTGCAGATCACAGGATGGATTTCTTCCCTCTTCTAGTAGTAGCTGCTTTAA